TGCTGTCTCAATCAGTGTTTCCTCTTCTTAGAGTTGTATTTACGACCAAAGATCCATTCCTGAGAAGGGAAAGACTCCATGCAATTATTCATAACAAGAATATTGCCAGGTCCCTTTTCCACACAAAGCTTAGTTACCACGTGTTGAAGATGACGAGTCTATCATAAAAAATGAAATATATAATACACACTAATGGTTAGACTCACCACATTATTGTACTCCCATTTCTGGTTCCCTCCCAGTCCATGACAGTTTAGTATTCCAACCTTACCTCCTCTCTCTTTGCTTGAAATGTCAAGACAAAGATCATCATCGAATATTAGCTCACCGGAATCAGAGAACCCAAATTCCTGTAACAAAATAGTAATCCTACCCTCTCCTCTCCTCTCCCTCCCTCTCTCTCTCTCTCCATCTCTCTCTCCCTCTCCCTCTCCCTCTCTCCATCTCTCTCTCTCCCTCTCTCCCTTACTTGGTTTCCACCAATCCCATGACAGGTGAAGAGAGAGACCTTCCCATATTCTCTGTTCCCCATTGTATCAAAGCAAAGCTTCGATTGAGGATTCATGACCTACCAGAACACAGCACATAGAATACACATAGCACACAATACACACAGCACACAATACACAAGGCACACAATACACACAGCACACAATACACACAGCACACAGAATACACATAGCACATAATACACACAGCACATAATACACACAATACAGACAGTACATGTACATCAATTACAGTAACTCCATGTATACATGTAAGGGCATACACAAGTAGGCTCAATCAGACACTATTGCCACTATTCATCCCCAAACACTATTACATCATAAAGACACATATACATCACAACTCATACATGTAGGTACATCAAAACAGTCAGGCACTATGGCATTACATCCACACACTTAATTAATCCCCTCCAACTACTCACATAGCCTCCATAGCGTAAATTCTCTAGCGGCAACGGCATCTCTGAATAAACATTCTCCATGTACCAGCGAAACGACTTGCAGTGTAACTTTTTTCTCAGCTCAAGTCTTTCGCTGATGTCCCCATAACTCCTCGAGCGGATGCTAGGTCTCTTTGCGTAATAGTGTTCCTTATACTCATCCATCCAGACTTCGGCTAGACGCATGTTGTTACGAATGAGGATCGTGTCCACTCCCCCTGGGAAAGAATAGGGCTGGGACTTTCTGAATATGTGACCGACTCTTGAGCAAGGAATGAGCTCTAGCTTTCCGCCACACATCCATATCTACAAGAGAATGATGGGTAAGAGAAACAGAAAAAATTTTTTAAAATATATGATCGACATTACAAGTTGACAGATTTCATAATATGCAAGGAAGAGTAACAAACTAAAGGTGGATTAGAAATACATGTACATGTACATACCGAACATTAATTATGCTGACAATGTGACCCTAAATACACTTTCAATCAGTTTAGCTAACAAGAGCTGTATACAAAGAGACACTTCTAACAATAACTAACATTCATTATACTCGGTACGTGTACCTAAGATACTTTTATACATCAGGCAGTTACCTTAACCTAGTAGAAATCTAAGAGATAAATAAAGTCATATCTGACCACTCAATATTCTAATGGTATACAATAATAATTATGCATGAACAATTATTTGTTTTTAATTAATAATGAACCTATTGTAGGCACAAACGAGCTCTTAAATTTAAATATATACATTACATAAATTATTAAACTTGTAGTATTCCTAATAATTTTTTAAAACTTTAGAAAATCATTAAAATGGACTGACAAAAGCTGAGCACAGGGCATTAAGCCCTTCCAAAAATTTGAAAATGTAAAGACAATAATCAATCACTTGATCCCATACCAGTACCAACCTTTAAATACCATAAAAACTATGTGAGGCTATTGTG